ATAGTTTCTGGTCTTACATTTAGATCTTTAATCCATTTTGAGTTTATTTTTGTGTATGGTGTTAGAAAGTGTTCTAGTTTCATTCTTTTACAGGTGGTTGACCAGTTTTCCCAGCATCACTTGTTAAAGAGGTTGTCTTTTTTCCTATATCCTTGCCTCCTTTGTCGAATATCCTGAAACTTTGTTGAAATGTTTATGAGTTCTGATAGGTTGTTAGTAGATTTCTTGGTGTATTCTATATGTAAGATCATGTCATTTGTGAATAGACATGTTTACTTCTTCCTTTCCAATATGGATGTTTTTTATGTCTTACTCTTGCCCAATTGCCCTGGATGTGTTACAGTGTTGAAGTTTTGAGAACAGGCATCCTTGTCTTCCTTTTGACCTTTTAGGAGAAGTCATCTAATTGTTTATTGTTATGCAAAAATTTTTAACTGTGTGTTTTTCCTAGACGCTCTTAGTCAAGTTGACAAAGTACCCTTCAGTTCCTAGTTTGTTCAATGATTTTATCACAAAAGGGTGTTGGATTTTGTCAGCTACCTTTTCCAGTGTTATTTTGTTTTTGGCTGTGCTGGGTCTTGGTTGCAGCGTGCACTCTCCTCTAGCTGTGGAGAGCGGGACGACTCTATTGTGGTGTGTGGGCTTCTTGTTGCTGTGGCTTCTCTAGTTTTAGCAGCATGGGCTCTGGGGCGTGCGGGCTTCAGTAGTTGCCTATCTCAGGCTCTAGTGCACAGGCTCAATAGCTGTGGCGCATGGGCTTAGTTGCTCCATGGCCTGTGGGATCTTCCCAGACTAGGGATCGAACCCATGTCTCTGGCATTGGCCGGTGGACTCTTCACCACTGAGCCATCAGAGAAGCCCTGTCTGATACTTTTTATCCATCTGAGATGATCATGAGTTTTTGTGGTCGCTGCTTTAAAGTTACCAAAATTCTATATCAAAAATTTACTGTTATTTCTTGTATATTATTTTCATGTATTTCTGCTATAATAAACTTAACTTTTATTAATTATAAAGTCTTAGCTTTGATCATGTTACCTCAGATATACTGTAAACTGTTTTTAAAAATTAGCTTAATATTGGGGAGGGAGGTGGGAGGGGGGTTCAGGATGGGGAACACACGTACACCCATGGCTGATTCATGTCAATGTATGGCAGAACCCACTACAATACTGTAAAGTAATTAACCTCCAATTAAAATAAATGAATTTTTAAAAATTAGCTTAATATTGGTATTGTATCAAATGCTTTCTCCATGTTCTGAATATGAAAGTGAATTTCTAGTAGTGATAACCTCCAGCACTTTTAAAACTTGAGAAAGTTAATCAGTTATCGACAGTCCTGGAAAATGGGTTTCTATGAATAGACCTGTATGGCATTGTTAATTCTAAATTACTAGTGATGTGTAATGATAGCACACCTTCAAAAGCTAATATTTTATCTTTGGTGGGCGACATTGCAGGGCCGGCATAGGGAAATGTGCATTCTTAATACATTTTGAAAAGGATAATGTGAGTTCTATCAGCCTCAGGCTTGTTTCACACTTTAAAACTGTCTTTGCCTTCAGTACAAATAACTTGAATGTTCTGTTTATTTTTAACATTGCCATCTGTCACTGTGAGATACCAGGTCTGAAAGATGGAGCTATAGTTTGAGACTGCAACTTAAAGCTCCCTATATTATTGCACAACAACGGCAATAAGGAACATTTTCCCTTTGGAACTCTTCTTAATGTTCTCAGTATGACCAATTATTTGTGTCTGTAAAAATAAAGTTAATGAATCACCATGTCCTGACCAAGATAGCACGTATCCATGGTACCTTAAGGAAAAGGGCGTGTGTGGGGTTGGGAGGTGGGGAGGAGAGTTGAGAGGAAGCAAGGTAAACGCTTGTTCCAGAGAAACTGGCGTTTGTTCCGTCCCCGCAGGTCCTGCTTTGACAGCTGATGAGGCTGAGGTGAGTGGGAGGAAG